GCCGACTAAACCGACGGAGTTATCGTTCACGGAAATTGTAGAAGTTATGGGCCGACATTTGACGCCGAAACCAATTATCATCGCCGAAAGGTACAAATTTCACAAGTACAATCAAGTGGAAGGTCAGTCAATTCGTGAATATTTAGCTAAGTTGCAAAGATTAGCAGAAACTTGTGAGTTTGGGGTATATCGCGATGAAGCATTGAGGAATAGACTGGTGTGTGGCATTACCTCACAAACGATTCGAATAAAAATTATTAAGAGGAGCAGATTTAACACTAAAGACAGCAGTAGATATCGCCGTTGGCATGGAGTTGACGGACAAGGAAATATTCGAGATTTCTAGTGAGCCTCGACCCGTTCGGAAGGTGGAGGTACATGATCCATGTTTTCGTTGTGGCAGGCGAAATTATTCACCTGAAAAGTGTTTTCATAAAGATTCCGATTGTCACATATGCAAACGAAAAGGGCACATCAGTCCACTATGTCTGCAGAAGAAGTCTGCGAAATCCCCAACCCAAGGTAAACTCAAGCCGTTAAAATTTAAACAGGGAAAGAAGAAGAAAAAAGATTCAAGAATTAAGTAGTTAGGCACTGGAAGTGGTTCTGGTAGTGAGGCCTCTGACTCCTCACATCCTGAAAACTCCGGTGACGCATATCACCGTGAATGGCCTATGTTTTCTGTACGAAATTCCTCAAAAAAGAAATCGGATGAGATATTGATACCGCTTAATATCAACAATGTTCCCTGTAAATTAGAATTGGACACAGGAGCTGCAGTGACTGTGATCCCTGAAGAAATATGGCAGAAAGATTTTGGCTCAGTTCCTTTGCAAAAGTCTAACGTGACTTTAAGGAGCTATTCTGGGCATTCGATACCAGTGTATGGAGATACTGCTTTTCATGTTAAGTATGGCTTCCAAGAACTTGACCTACCCATTATAGTTACTAAAGGGAAAGGTGTTGCTCTCATGGGAAGAGATTGGTTGTCCAAGATTAAGTTGAAGTGGCACCGCATTAATGATGTTTGACAAGCTAACCAACCAAGACCCAAGTTAGAAGACGTAGTTCAACAGTACCCCAAATTGTTTGATGGTAAACTAGGTACCATTACCGGATTCACAGCTCAACTCAAAGTGAAAGAGAATGCTACACGTCGGTATCTCAAGTCTCGTCCGATGACTTACGCACTCAGGGAGAAGGTGGAAAAGGAGCTGAAGCGCCTGGTGAAAGAAGGAGTATTAAAAAAGGTTGAAAGTTCGGATTGGGCCACACCAATTGTTCCCGTTCTTAAACCAGATGGAACCGTGAGAATTTGTGGCGATTTCAAACTCACCATTAACCCTTACTTAGATGTCCCAGAGTACCCTATGCCGACACCAGACGAATTATTCACAAAGTTGAATGGAGGTGAATTATCTACTAAGCTAGAGCTCAGTCATGCCTACCAGCAAGTAGTCCTGGATGAGAAGACCCAACCCTATGTCACCATCAACACCCACTTAGGTTTATACCGGTACACTAGACTACCATTTGGAGTGGCAGCTGCACCTGGAATATTCCTACAGATGATTGACAAAATGCTAGATGGCCTGACCCAAACTGGCGCAATATTGGATGATTTGATCGTCACTGGTCAAAATCATTTTTAGGTTTGGTAAACTACTATCGCAAATTCATCCCAAACATGTCAACATTGGTCAGTCCTTTGAACCAGTTACTATCGAGGGACACACCCTGGTGTTGGAATAGGGAGTGTCAAGTATCATTTCAAGCTCTTTAAGATACTCTGGCTTCTTCAAAAGTGTTGGTTCATCACAATACCAAGCTTCAGGTTCAGTTAGCCGTAGACGCTTCACCAGTAGGCCTGGGAGCAGTAACTTCACACATCACTGCTAATGGAACTGAGCGTCCTATTGCTTACGCCTCGCGATCTTTAACCAAATCTGAACGAAATTATTCGGTAATTGAAAAAGAAGCTCTAGCCATCATTTTCGGTATTCGCAAATTCCAGCAATTTCTGTATGGCCGCAGACTTACCCTTCTGACAGACCATCAGTCCCTATCGTTATTGTTTGGTTCCAAGAAGGCGATTCCAGCCGTAGCTGCATCACGGATTCAAAGATGGGCAATGCAGCTTTCAGTTTACCAGTATGATATCAAGTACCGCAGATCAAAGCAGAATGAGAATGCAGACGCCTTATCAAGACTTCCGTGTAAAGGAACTGACGTTGGCTTACACATTGACGAAGAATCCGCAGACGTCAACAGGGTCCAAGTTGCTAGAGTTCCAATCAATTCTAAACGGCTTCGGGAAGATGCAGCCCGAGCCGGACCCAGTGTTATCGCGAGTCATTCACTTCACCCTTTATGGATGGTCGGACAAGTCCGAGGTTTCAGAAAATTTGAAAAGCTATTTTGCAAAACGAAATGAGTTTACAATGGAGGACGGATGTCTTTTGAGAGGAACAAGAGTCGTGATTCCAGTGATTCCAGAGGAGACTGTGTTAGCAGAGTTACATCTGAGTCACCCTGGAATTGTACGAATGAAAGCATTAGCTAGAATTCATGTTTGGTGGCCGGCGTATTGAACAGTTAGTTGGAGACTCAGATATTGAACAGTTAGTTGGAGACTGTGAGACCTGTCAGATAACGCACAGTAAAGCGCCACTAACCTCCGATAATCCCTGGATGTGGCCGCACCGACCTTGGCAACGAGTTCATGTCGATTATTGTGGTCCATTTCTTGGTGGTTTCTTTTTGGTTGTCGTAGACGCGAAGTCTAAATGGCTAGAAGTGATACCCATGTCAAGCACAACAGCTCAAGCAACGGTGGACGCATTACGCTCACTCTTTGCTATTCATGGTTTACCCGAAGAGATTGTCTCAGATAATGGCCCTCAATTTATTGCACAAGAGTTTAAAGATTTCCTAAGATACAACCATGTGAAACAAATCCTCAGCGCGCCATACCATCCAGCATCTAATGGCGAAGCGGAGAGAGCAGTAAGAACCTTTAAACAAGCGATGAAAGCAGCTAAAAGTGAGCCAGGAACCATATCACAGAA